ACCTACTGCAAGGGCAAGGAGTGCCGCAAGCACACCCAGCACAAGGTCACCCAGTACAAGGCCGGCAAGGTATGTCTAACGACACGCGCGCGACGACCGACTCCTAGCGACGCACTCACGACACACGATCCGGACGGTTCACTAAATGATTGTTTGATGTAGGCCTCGCTGTTCGCGCAGGGAAAGAGACGTTACGACCGAAAGCAGTCCGGTTATGGTGGTCAGACCAAGCCTGTCTTCCACAAGAAGGCTAAGACCACCAAGAAGGTTGTCCTGCGGTTGGAGTGCATCAAGTGCAAGACCAAGCTCCAGCTCGCCCTGAAGCGCTGCAAGCACTTCGAGTTGGGGTATGATATCATCCCCTATCTAATGGACGCGACCTCGAATCATATACTGACAACCCTCGTAGTGGTGACAAGAAGACCAAGGGTGCTGCCCTCGTTTTCTAAACGCATTGTGTTTTCGGTCGACCGACTTTTATGGCTCCTTTCACGGCACACGGATCATCATCAGGCTGGAACAATGGCGGCGAAGAGGGTTACCAGTTCTCATTTGAGGAACTCTACATAGGGAACAAATAAAAGCCCTTGCTTGCGAACGGATACCAAAAGCAATTCATCCAGCTTCCCTCCCCTCCTCATCCCTCACCTGCTTTCGCGCGCTTAGAGAGACCACACAACCGAAAAGAAAAAAAAGTGACAAGAGAAAATGCGGGATGCGTGGGAACTCGACAAACGGTTTGTCCTGAGGGTGGTGATCACACTCGAGGTGGGATGAACTTGTCCCTGTTGAGACATGCCCAGGCTCCCGAATCTGTGGTCGCTAGAAGATAGATGCCTTCTATGAGGCTCAACCGGTCAATCACATAACTGAGTCACGAAATAACGTTATCATGTTCAACTCCCATCCCATCTATTTGTCCAATGTGAATCAGATCCGCCGCGTCAGCTCTGCAATTCCGTCTATCCCTCATCTAGAGCTTGAGTTCGTTTCTGCAACACGCCCAGGCGCCGAGGCGCCCAGCCAGGTTTCCGTCTCAGAAGCCCTCCCCTAGCTTGATCGTCCTCCCGCCTCCGTACCACAGCTGCCCATTACGAGCATCCAAACCCCTTTCCTGCCCAACAACCCACTCTCCAATCCATTCGGCACCCGGACGGTCCCAGACCTCCTTCTCAAGCCACGCGTTGATCTGGTCAATGGCCTCAACCCACTTCTGCCTCGTCTCGGGCGTATCGTGGTCCTTCTCCGTAAGGTACCGACCAAGCGTGATGTGCGCGCTCGGCACCTGGTACCTCGACTCAATCTGCACGCCCGTCGACTGCGCGAGGGTGAAGATGTCGCGGCGAAGGTGGTGGTATGAGTAATCGTCCCCCTGCACGATGGCCTGTTGCTGGGCGGTCGGCGCCGGGCGCGGGCTCAGGGGCGGCTCGCCAGAGGCCGGGAGGAAGGAGACGGCGAAGGCGGAGAGGTCGTAGGAGATCATGGGTCTTACGAGACGGGACCTGTGAGAGTAGGTGTAGTCCGTGATGTAGGGGATCGCCGAGCGCATGTTATCCGTGAGAGTGATGATCTCTTCGGGCGTCTTGGAGTGCGTCACCTCGAGAGTTGTAAGGTGCATTCGGTGTTGGGGCATGAGCCAGATACCTTTTGAAGGTTCCCGTGTTAGTCAAGGGGGTCTCTGATGACTCTTCATAGTTGCACTGTTTAGGGGTCTCACTCGGTGCCGCTTTCTTAAGCAAAGACTGCAGATAAGCCGAGAGTTGCACAATGTGATCTGGCGGCCGGGCCCAAAAGACCAAGCAGTTACGAGGGTCCTGGAAACCCAGTTCCATCTCCGGGTTTTCCAATCTCAGAAGAAAAGGGTCAATGATGAGCTCCTTGAAGTCGGGAGCAATGAACTTTTGCCTCTGCTGCTCATTTCTCTTCGTTCTGTGGGCTTGGTAGAGAGCCTGGATCTCCGCCTACGTAATTGTCCTCATCAGATTTGAAGGCTTCTTTTGACAGGCTTGCATTGGATGTTGGACTTTACTGGGTTATCATTGCAAGCTTTAATGAAGGCTTCATATGGATTTTGACCGGGCAGGATCGTGATGCCAGACAAATCTTCCAATTTGTTCTTGGCATCGGTTGAGATGAGTTCAGAGCCCATGGCGAAAGTCTGAGAAGAAAATGTCTTTTTGGAGTGTAGTGTCACTTGAATATTTCCTCAAGTCTCGAGCAAATACTAGACAAAGACACAAGAATATAGGTACTCTGAGGAACGAGGCTTAGACGAGAACCGGAGCGAGAACGGAAAGTGGACGCGAGCGGAATAGGTCAAGCGCCAAGGCTGGACTTCGTATTGAGTCCCGGTGAGTCAAATAAGGACTAAAGCTGTTGACGAACCTGGATAGCTTCAGAGTGAGGTCGCCGTCACCGCCAATCAATACGCCCTTCAGCTGCACCTCGGCCGCGAACCAATCACGGACAGGGAGACGGATGGGTGCCGTCGGTCACCGGCGGAGACTGCTTTTAATGACTAAGCAATACACGCTCTGCGCGGGGTCACATGACATGGAATCCTCCCGTGGTGCCATGGCCAATCGGGTATACTGTTGCCCCTGGGGCTCATCTTGTTTTGACTTCAGGCCTCTGAATTGCAGACGAGTTTACCATGAAGCATGTTATTACCTTCACACAATCAAGTCGTGATTGCACGTTTGCCTAAATCATAATAAATCATGCCGGGGCAAGTGCTCAATCACTGCTGCAGAACATTGCAGGCCGCAGCTCTAGTGTCCCGGACGCTTTTCCACACGCGCAGTAGTCTAGGAGAATGGTATCCCACCTTCGAAATTCGAAGACTTGGATGACCGAACTCCAAGTGTGTATGTATACACTTTTCTCTGTTCTACTTTTACCTTCCAATTTAGCGACTAGAATTTACGAAATATGGACTCCTGTTCGTTTCTTAGGCATGCCCGGATTACGGGCATGCGAGTCGACTTTGGTGCAGAACGAAGACATCATAACTCCCACGCCTCTTTCCCCCCATTTTCTCATCTGTCTCCTTCATTAGATGTATGTCTTGCTGCATGGCTGTTCCCACGAGACATCACTCGTTTCCTTGCTGGATATACGTGTTATCGTTTCCAGCTAGATAATTCTACAAAGCACTATCGCCGTGTCTAATGTTGTTTCTTGTCTTCCCAGCTATTGTGGAAGAAGTCAGTCTCCCTTCCGTGACTCTTTCCGCATGGCCATTAGTATGGCTACTATGATAAGCAGTCTCAAAGCTGGATATAGCATGAGCCGACATAGGTCAGTTTACTTACGTTTGCAAGTGGCATACAATATGGCTCTTTACTCGTAGCTTTCTCTTGCCATCGGCCTGCTGATCGAAGTGATCCTTTTCGTTTACTCACGCATCGTTACCAACATCTGATGGAATGTACAAATCAAACATCAACGTCGAACCACCCATTTCTACCTTGTTCCTGTCATCTGGTGAGCTCCAAGTCTTGGATTGATGTAGTCCTCTCAAGGAGAAGGTCGGGCGTATCATGCAAATATAAGACCTGCCGTTTCGGAAGAGCCTTTCCAAGATGATAATCTCTTGCCCCCTGATGAGACACTTCAGCGAGTGTCTCAGTCTCCCAACCACCCTATGCTAGCTCCTCTTGAGAGAATCCGTCCTCATTAGCTTCAATAGTGCTCAGATGATGATCAATACTTTGCTCTGAAGATATTGAGTGGTCACATCCTTAGATGCGCTGACTACCGGAACCAACAAATTCCTGCAGACATGTATTGAAAACAATATCATCAGTCTTAGTTCTGGTCACCGCACTTTCAACAACGAGATTATTCATTCTGTGTAGAGAGTAGCCTCTTAACTTCTTCTTCTTTTTCTGCCCTTCAACGTTGTCAGGTTGTCAAGCAGAAAGTCTCTGCGAGTAGTTCTCGCCTTGAGAGTACATCACACATCTATGACAGGCCAAAGGTTGTAGAGAAAGACCTGGCTGAAAGGCACCGACTTATTTTCCTTTCAGGGGCACTCGCCTAGACTGCAAAGACTCAAGAGTGTCTTTGCTGAGCAAGGATATCTTGCCAAGGTTAAGCACAGTCTATCTGAACTTGACGTCGATTTTGAATCATTCTCAGTGCCCTGTCTCTCGCCACATCCATTCTGGTGATACTCAGCAAGAGATACATAGATAATCAATTGCCCACACCTCTTGAGCAGAAGACTCTTCTTCTTTGAGACAGAGCTCATAGTCCTTTACTCAAAGTACGCCCTGTCTCTAGAATGTAACGGACAGATGACCAAGGGGCTCCTCTTGAAAGGCCATGGCTTCGTTAGGAAACCATCAAGTGATAGCTCTCGCCATAAAGAGCCATCAAGACGGGGAGCACCCGCCTTGTCACGCAAGTTCCTCTCATCACGAGAAGAGGCCAACTCTCAATGCCCTTTTGCGGGGCCTCTCACACAATGTTCCCGTCTCCCTCCTCAGGGGCACCCGCCTTGTAAGACGTCCTCAGGGGATAGCTCTCGCCCCGAATAGCTTCAAACGTCGAGGGCACCCGCCTTCTTGAGTCTAACCCTCTTCTCCGCTCTGAAGGCGGGAGCACATGACTTTTCGTGGGACCTCCCACAAAGATTCTTCCATCCACCTTGAGCCTGGAAAACCCCCCAAAACTTTTCCACTTTCCACTTACCTCTCTTCTTCCCTCTTCTCAACACTCTCATCACTCTTACTGAGCTTCATCGCTTTGCCAGCTTCTGCCACACACCAAACCAGACCAAGTTCTTCTTCCTTTTGTTTCATCATCAACATCATCAGAAGCCCTCAGAGATCATCAAACTCTGCTGATTTTGGGGGTGTTTTGGCTGTATCTCGTCGTTGGTACATACCTCACTTGACCGCTCTACCCAGACTTCCCCTTTTTTTCTTTGACCACCTCGAAAAAACCTCCTGTGGCAGACGTCTCTGTTGTCAGCTCATTGCTCTTTCGCAAGTATGGATTTCCCTTTTGGCCAAGATGAGCAGGGAAATCCTCTCCCGGATCCCGATCCCGCGAATATTCTTGGCCCCAATCCCGACGAAGGATGGCCTAAGGATGAACATCCACAACAAGGGAACCGCCAGGTTGTCGGTGGTTTTCTCGAAGATCTCCCTGACCTCGATGATCTTGACGCTCACCTTAGGGACCCTGGCTCATTTGCTTTGAGTATCGACTTCCACGCGAGTTTCGAGGGGATTTTGCCTCCCCTCGCTTCTCCAAACGGTTCGGCCAACCAGGGCGTGGGCCCGACAGTCCTCCCAGAAACTGAACAGGCCAAGAATAACAGCAATGACCTCGCCTATGGGCCCGGCAATGGCCACGCCGCCATGGAGCAATTTTACACTGATGACGAGGGCCGGTTATGGTTTCTTAACAGCCAAGACTACGACAGTAATGGCCAACTCATCGCGACTTACAGGTACATCGACGATAATGGGGATCAGTGGACGCGCCAACAGATTGTACCCCTGATACCATCTGAGCAGACCTTCGGCCAGGATAACGATCGCCATGACGACCCTATGGTTCAACAAAACCAGGACTTGATGCACAGTCAAGGCTTCAATCAAGGCTCTCCATCCTATGTTCCAGTCGGGCCTCCAGTCGAAGATTACTATGGTGGCCAACATGGTGGCCCCACCTCGCAGGGACTATATGATAGCCTTGCCCCCAAGGCTTCTCGCTTGACTGCTGAGTCTCCGTCGGGTTCTGCATATCGGTCGGTGTATTCGCCTCGCGTGGGTTCTCATACTCACGTGATTTCGGGTCGCGCAGCTTGTACACCTGGACTCAATTTTACAACCCATTCACCTTCTGGATCTCAGTCCACTTCAGCGAATTCAGAACCCGGAGCAAATTCCACACCTCAGCCCACCATGGATCAAGCAGTGCCTGTTCTGGTCATGGATGAGCGATCTGTGAACCGCCCGCGCGACGCCTTTCCAATCATCTTCGACAAGGCATTGAAGCTCGGTCTGAGAAAGCTCCTCGATGCCGGCGGCGTGTCGTTCAGGATTGCGACCATGTGCTCCGGCACGGATGGTCCCATCCTGGCTCTACGCGAGTTCGTTGAAGCGGCCACCGCCTGCGGCTATCCGGGACTCCTTCAGTGCAATCATGTCTTCAGCGTTGAGATCGAACCGTTCAAGCAAGCCTTCATTCGTCGCAATGCAGCTCCTTCAGGCCCGATCTTTCGCAATGTCGTCGACGTTGGCATGCCCGGAGCTACTCAGGCGTAAGTTCTTCAGCCCTCACCAGCGTTCTCTCATGTACTGACAGTAATGTAGTATGACGGCTTCCGGAGCCATGGCCGATATCCCTCTGGGAATCGACATTCTCATTGCTGGAAGCTCTTGCGTCGACTTTTCGAGCCTGAACTACGCCAAGAACGACAAGAAGAAGAATTCTGGTCTCAACAAGCTTTTTGAGCGATTCAAGGACAGGGGCATCTCAGCCATTCAACAGGACGACCCGATGGCCAGTCAAGTTGTCGATGGCCTTCAACAAATCTTCGAGAGCATCAAAGATGAGAAGGGAGAGTCAACCAGAACTTTCCTGTCCATTCTCATGTACACCCACGCACATCGGCCCAAAATCGTCATCTTGGAGAACGTTACAAGAGCTCCGTGGGACCAATTCAGGGACTTCTGGCTGCCAAGCATCGGATACGTGGCGGGGTATGTCCAGGTCGACTCCAAGAACTTCTTGGTCCCTCAAACGAGGCAGAGGAAATATCTGCTCGGGGTGGATGCTCGCTACTATGGAAACAAGGCCGAGGAGATCGTCAACACATGGGTCAAACTCATGGACATTACGCAGTGGTTCAAGAATCCGCCTGATCTCCAGAAGTTCTTGCTTCCCCCGTCTGATCCGCGTGTGCTTCAGACTCGATTCCAGTTGGAACGAACGCTGCTCTCGAAGCCGAAGAGGGACGTCGAGGCTGTTCATTGTGCTGCCGATCATAGGTTGGCACGTCGAAAGGAAGAGCTCGGCACGTCGAACCCGTATACTCGGATGGATGACAGAGGCAACGTTCAGCCCCGCGAGGACACCTGGCAGGGCATCATCTCAGTCTATACTTGGCGAATGCAGGATCTCCTAGACATCGAGTACCTGAGAGCACAGAAGAAGGGGTACGACTTCACCCACAAAATGTTCATTCTTGACGTCGGACAGAACGTGGATCGACAGAGCGGAAGGCTGGGGGTAATTCCGTGTGTTCTTCCCTCAGCTGATCTCTTCATCTCGTACGACGGCCGTCCTCTCCTCGGACTCGAGTGTCTCGCTGTGCAGGGCATTCCCGTTGACCGCATCTCGCTTTCGGTCGAGGGGGAAAACCAGCTCAAGGACCTTGCCGGAAACGCCATGACGACCACCGTGGCCGGTGCAGCTATCCTCTGTGCCCTCATTGCCGAGTTCAGGTTCAAGACGAAGGCAAGCAACAGGCACTTGCAGGGCCTCGCTCAAGCCACCCCGCTGCTGCCTAGCAGCGTCGTTCATCAGACCTCGACTGACGAGGCCGGACCTTCCAATTTGTTGGATTCTTTCCTTACCCTGGACCCCTCCTCTCTTGGACGCAAAACCCACACATCTGCCAGCAGAAAAGGAAAAGAAATCGATCGATCATTTTCTGCCTCGCAAACTACTCCCAACAAGATGGCTTGGCAGGAGATCGTCTCCTCCGGCTGGGACGGCAATAGATCAGTCGAGTTTTTCTGCACTCTCTGCCTCAATGGATGCCGGAAATGTCGCTGCGACGCCTTCCGCAAGCATCAACATACCGGTGTTTATCTGCGATGCAAGGACTGCAATGAGACGCGCTGCCAAAGCTGTGCTGGAAATCCGGACCACAACTTTGATAGGGCTAACCCCATCGACGACGAGGTGTCAATCGGCAGAAGTTTGGCTCAAGAGCTTGCGATTGCTGCTTTGCCAGCTCATCTCTACATCGATTGGGCAGGTACCGATACCGCTCACAGTGTCGATATTCTCCACGAACTCGACAAGCAGATCTTCAGCGATCACCTCGAGGCTTTACATCGCGCAATCCAGACGTGCGCAGGCGGAGTTCATTACTACCAGACGGACCTCAAGTTCAGAGACGACCTGACTGTGACTTACGAATCCGAAAAGTCAATCATCGTCGTTGTCATCACCGGAAAGGACGTTACGTGGAGCATGCATCTGAGACCCGTCTATATCGAATTCGGGCGCCCATAGATTCGGAACGATACCTCAGCCAGCGAAGTGGCAATTCAATTGACTGCTCTAGGTTACGACCTTCGCCAGCCTCTCTTGAAAGCAGTACTCACCGACCATGACGCGGATTTCACTCCTATGGCAGACAGCTAGAAGCTGTTTGTCCAATGCGAAATCAACGTGGATCTGGTTCAAGAACGCGCCAACGATGGGAGGATGAACGGTTTCACCCAGAAGCTTATTGAAGTCAACGGCCTTGCACCCTATTTAGTGAACGAAATCACGAATGTCATCAACGGGGACTACCACTTTACAGATAAGTGCGCAACCCCATTGGGGCTCCTCTTCACCAAGCACGATCCTCTCAGCCCCGTCTACATGATGCTCCAGACGAATTGCAACGGAGCTGCCGAAACCGACCGATGGGTCTTGACGAAGAACCCTAGAAAGCTTGAGCCGGATCAAGTGCGAGATATCATCTGCGTTTTCCCCAAAGGGTTCAAGCACCAAGAAGGACAGCCTCCGGGCTCTATACTGTCGGCCGTGTTGCCTGGCGTGTACACGTCTCTGCCGTCAGCCCTGGGTATCACCGTCCACGAGCGTGATCCAGCCCTACATGTTGGTCTCAAAGATTTGCAGGAGCAGGCTATCATGAACATCGACTGTCAATCTTCGATCCCGTCCATCATGATCAAAATGGACAAGACCGACATGCACTTTCCAGTCAAGTCGCTCCTCACCCAGTTGACTCCCCCTTCTGGTACAAACAGCATGGCAGCTTCGTCCGATATCTGGTTCACGATTGCCCAGCACGATATCAAGGATGCATTGGCACTGGCGTCTTCTGCCATCAACAAGTTGCCGGCCTCAGTATGTGCTGGACTTCTTACAGTTAGCGACATCGTGCTGGATTCTGGTGATGCGTGCTACAAATGCTCGCCGACCGCTCCAAAGGCTCTTCATCACTGGGATGCGGATGGCAGCGTTGTACGAATCGAGAACGAGGCAGTGGCGACTCAAGCGGAGCAGGCTATGTTGCGACGACCAGCTCCTCTCGAGATCCAGGCCCGACTGGAGCTGAGTGAAGCTGACGAATACAATGTGCTGAGCATGAGAATTCTGCTAAACCCAGCGTCGCTGGCGCACCGGGCGCATGGTTACTTCCCGGTCGACAAGGACATCATGTCGCCCATGGTTCGCTCAACTCGCGGAAGTGGCAATTTCCGTGTGGAAACGAGCTATCACGAGCCCAGCCTGAAGGGATTGCCCCCCTTCAAGGACAGCATGGTCGCCGTTCAGGCAGATTCCTATCCTCCTCAGGGCGTCTTCCGGACGCCCCGGTTTCTGCAGAATGGAATGATGCTTCGACAAGATCAAGTCGAGGCTTGTCAGTGGATGCTGCACCGCGAACAAGACGAACCGTTCACTGAAAGGGAATTCGAGGAGCGTGTTCTTCCATCTGTGAACGTGCGCTTAAGTGCTGTTGCCGAGCTTGAGAATTATGCCCGAGGAGGTGTCCTTGCACACGACATCGGCTACGGCAAGACTATAGTTACACTTGGTCTTGTTGATCATACAACGACTCGATCGCATGCAGAGTTTTCTATTCTAGAGCGTTCCAAGTGGTTGGGAACCACGGCGTTCATTCACATCAAGGCCACTTTGGTCATCGTGCCACCCCATATTGTGTCGCAATGGGCCAAAGAAGCTAAGAGATTTGTTCGTCAGCTCAGAGTCCTGGTGCTCACCAAAACGACTGATATCTCACGGGAGAGCATGGAAGCAGCAGACATCATCATTGTCAGCAGCACTCTGATGTCTTCCGAGAAAAACATTGACAAGCTCGCTGCAATCGCCCAAATGCCATCGATCCGTCAGAAGAGATCGAACCGAGACTCCCAGGACTGGCATTACGAAGTGGTTGAAACCATCAAGCATGCCGCCTATGACCACAGCAACCCTGACAACCCGAACAATGCTCATGTCGTGGCGAGAATCCAAGGCCGCCGCACCATCAGCAATGATTGGGTCCGGAAAGCCGCAGCCGACATAGTGGGAGCTAGCGATCGGAAGACGCAGCAAACCGCCAAGGCGACACCCAAAAAGAAGAAGGGCAAGGCAGCAAAGCCCAAGACGGCCGTCACCATTGATGTGAAGGAGGCCTTCCAGAATGGCGAGGTACTTGAAATGTACACTTACCGCCGCGTGGTCTTTGATGAGTTCTCGTATGAGAACACATCCGTTGCAACCTTCTTCCAGAACGCTGTCGCGTCCTCGAAATGGATCCTCTCAGGTACACCGCCTACCATCAACCTCGGTCAGATCTGCGAGACTGGAGCGTTGCTCAATGTTCATGTTGCGCGACCGACGCCATCAATGCCGGGATTCTTCCCCAATGCCACGACTGGGCCCAAGGTATCCGAACTGACTGACGCCGAAACATTCCGCAGCTACACAGAGCCCTTGTCCGCCCAGCTCGCGGCCGATCGCCATGATCAGGGACAGCAATTCCTTCTTCACTACTTGCGGAAGAACAAGATGGAGATTCCAGGAGTGGAAATAACCGAGGCCGCCTGCTTCACTCCCATGAACACTCAAGAAGCCTTGGTATACAATCTTGTACAACAGGTTCTTCATGATGCAAAGTGGGACGTCGATGGCATGCCCTGTGGTCTTGATACTTTCCTTCGCACCATCTTGAACGAAGAAATGACCCAGAGGGCCGGTTCAAAGGCCAAGGCTGCCGGAAAATCTATCTGGTCGGATGCAGTCGACGCGTTAGTTCTCTTGTCTTCGTTGTCCGTTTCTTCCGGCCGAAAGGGATTCGAGGGCATGGGGTGGACAGAACCCAACGCGAAGCTGACTCTGGAGCGTCTCGGCAACCAAGCGTCTGCTGCAGCTGGTGATCACCTTGCCCGTTGCACCCGGATTCTGGTATCTCTCTTCGACAAAATGATGTACCTGGCGAATATGATCTGCAACGATGCTGATACAGGCAGTGGAAAAGCTAAAAAAGATGCCTACTTTGGTCATATGGAGGAGATTTTCGATTTCATGAGGAACATCAACGGCGACTCTGATGATAGTGCGTTCATCAACTATCTCCATGATGCGATCGTCTACCGAAACTCGATCCGCCCAGATTACATTCCTACTCGAGAGAACTATTGGGACTGCAACTTATGGTCCGAGTGGATGGGTGGCCCTGGAACATACAATTCTGCCCATTGGTGGCTTCTCGACTCGGATCACGACTTGTCCGATGGTGAGTTGGACAGCTTGCAGAACCGGTGGGTCGGCTCTAGTGGTGACCAGAGCGATGACCGAGAGGCTCTCATCGACCTCCTTCGCCAAGAGCAGGACAGCCAGGATAAACGCGAGGAAATGGCTTTGGCTATTGGACTGAAGGACACCGGCGACATTACGGCTCAGCTTCAAAAGCATTTCGATGGAAAAGCCACCAAAGACGACTATGAATTCGGCATTCAGATTCCAGCTCACCGACCACAGAAGGGCAAGACGATTAAACCCCGTGGACAGGCCATTGACGAGACTTTGAACAGTTTCATCTTGGTTGTGCAAAGCGTCCAGGCTGGCATCAAGCTCACGACGGAGGCATGGCGGCGCTGCATGTTTCTGATGAAGTTGAACCACGTTCTTCATGGAAGCCATAGCCCGCTGTCCACCACCTGCAACGTCTGTGATGCCGTTACTGCCGATTCTGACATGTTTCATTCCATTGCATGCGGTCACTCGCTTTGCAAGGACTGCTTTGGTGCTTTCACTGAGGCTGGTGGTCAAATGTGCCCCATGCAAAGCTGCAAGGCATTCAGTCGTGGATCATTTGTCCCTAGCGAGATATTTGCCACGCCCGCCAACCTGCAGCACGATCTTTCGGCCGTTCCCAGTGCCAAGGTATCCGACATGGAGAACGTCATGTTCAACAATGTCCTTGATGACGAGAAGGTCCTGATCTTTGCTGCGTACGCGGGCATCAAGCAAGAGGTCTACGACCACCTCATTCGCAGCGACAACGGCTTTAGCGTTTATATGACTGACGGAGGCGATGAGGACTCGAATCAGATTGAGGCATTCAAGGCGCACCGTGGAAAGGCCGTTCTGATCCAGAGTCTCATGTCTTCGGAGTCCGCTGGCACAAATTTGACCGAGGCGAACCATCTCATGTTTGCTGGAGTTCTGTATACAGACTCGGACAGCTACGACATGTACATGAGACAGGCCAAGGGACGTCTCATTCGATTTGGACAGAAGCGTCCCGTCTTCGTCTATCACTTCATCACCCCGGCTACGCTTGAATTTGATATCTTCAACAAGCGTCATGGTAACCGCATCCGCCACTTCGGTGAGGAAGGACGCATTGCTATCCCGGTCACTGAGGACGGAGAGAAGGACCCGAGATTCCCTCTGTATTTCCGTCCATACTTGGAGACCGCATCGATTCAGAAGCTTCTGCGCTCCGTGGAATTCGAGGAGTACGAGAAGTGAATGGCAACCCAGGATGGCGGCGCATCGACTGCAAGAGTCTGATGAAAATGTCTCATTCACGTTGCCAAAGTTTCGGCAAGGGCGATGACTTCCGAGTTCGCCCAGTTCGGGAGGTTTGGGAGAGGGAGACCTGGAATGAGAGGTTTGGAAGGGAGGGTTTGGTACGGGAGGTCTGGAGAGGGAAGTTTGGCAACTTGTTTTCGGAGGGGATTCTTAATGCTGTTTGAGTACATCACGTTTGGACCGGCCGAAGGTGGGAGGCGGATATCGAACGATGGGAACGAATCTGGTTTGTTTGCAGGGCTCGAGTTTGACAAGGTAGCACAGAAAATATCTAAAGATCATTTGATCACCAAAACGACGTTCCACGTAATTCTCAATCGCCTATCGAGGGCGTGATGGAGAGAGCCAAGCAGCAATAGTTGCCCAGCATGGCTTGGCGACTGTGTAAAGTTTCATACCCTCGTGACCTTCCGCCTCTACGGGAAATCGTGGCCAATTTGATAGCATTTCTAGCTGGTTTAACCGCCCCTTTGCCCAGTCACAGAGGCGCCGCCTTGCACTCTTTCAACATGCCGAGGCAGACTCGAGCTAGGTTCCCTTCCCTTGCCGAACAGACATCGTACACACAAGCGCCATCATCAAGTGTTCCCCAGCACCATTGACTTGCCGCCCTCCCGCGGCAAAAAGCATATCTCAGCCATCCGCTCCGCTCACAACTTCGCAACAACAGGCATCCTCTCGGGAACCTGCACCACGATACCCGCGTCCTCGCCCGCGCCCGCAAACTCTACCTCCTGACAATCCTCCACGCCCGCGCCGCTCGCAAACTGCGTCACGACAAAATCAATTGCCGTGCCCTGCGGTCCCAGCGCAACCATGGGCGCATGCCACGTTCCCGCACCGTAGGTCACGGCCTGGCCCGGGGACGCCACAAAGGCCTTGAGGCCCTTGATGTCCGGGAGACCCCGGCCTTTGCCGCCGGTGGCCGGCGCCGGGAGGGAATCCGTCTGCGCGCTGGGGGTCGGGAGGGTAGGTGCCACGATGACGAGGTACGCCGCGCCGCTCACGGACGAAGAAGCAGAAAAGGGGACAAACGTCTGCGTCGTGAAAGGGTGTCGTTCCAGCACGCTCACTCTGAAGCGGCCGCCCCTGCTGGGACCGGCGTAGGTATACGGCAGCAGCGTCGAGATGGGCGGTTGCGCCAGGGGAGCGGCGGGCTCGAGCTGCCGTGCGGCGCAGGAGAAGATGCTCACGATGGGGCGGCCGGCGCGGGAGGGAGCTTGCGGGTAGAGGTCCAGAGGGGAGGAGACGTTTTGGTACTTTATGGCTGTGCCTTGGTTTGCGGAGACGGCGCTGAAGGAGGCGGATACGGTGGCGGGGAGGGAGGCGGCGGGGCGGACTTCCGGGTGAGGGTTCTCGATCACGTCGCCGAAGGGGGCGAAGGCGGCGCGAGTGAGGGGTTCCGCGGGGATTTGGAGGGTGAGGGGGGTTGTGAGCGTAGTTGGCGGCATTGTGGTGGTTCTGGGAGTGTGTTTGATGTCACACACGGTGTGAGTTGGGTTCGTTTCTTTGATTGCTTGCTTTGGTTTGTCTGAAATGGCGGGTGAATTAGGGTATAGTATGGCTTGATAAGTGGCGTATGAAGGAAGGGCGGGACGGATTAAGTTGAGTTGAGTGAGTTGAGGTCAGAGTAAGCTCGATGACTTTCATGAGCTTGGTGTTCGGGGTCGAGGTGAGAGGGGAGCTTGGGGGAAGCTTCCGCTTTAGGCATGGCCCGTATCCTCCACTGGGCCTCGGCGCATGGGGCCTGATGGAGTCTGATAGGGCCGCCGGCGAAGACTCCGCGGGGTCATTAACAATTGTCATCGAAGCTTAGCATTCTCCAGCTCCACCCCCGTTGGGCGGCACCCCGGGGAACGCACTGTCTCGGACTCCCCAACTACAACGTCTCTCAAAGCTCCGGTGTAATTGTGTATGGATGGCCTATGAGACGCGGTTTTCCGGACCTTGCAGCACTCATGCTTGATCTTTCATAATCGGAGATTTTGGGCTGAATTGCATAAAGGCTGTTATCATGGGCTCTTACTCATTCAATATCCCGGATCTGTGAAGGCACAGCAAGTTGAACGCAGATCATCGGCAAGATTTACCCCAACATATTCCAGGGCTTTATCCTGGCACGATGCTCAACCATACGGTGTACTCTCTCTAGCGCGTTGTCACGAGATGCCGAATCTTTGAGTCATGGCTTAGCTCGGTAAACCTGTCCGGACTGCGACCATGTTCTCAACGCCTGGGGATAGCGAATTCGTTCTCGATGATCAAGCTTCTGTCTGGCTTGCCGATTACCAAGAGAGCGCGATTCGGGACTCTATAAACATTGTTTGGATTCATGTTGATTGACTGTAGTAAGGAAAGCTGGAAAGGACTGCTCTGATGGCCCTAGATCACGGCAATGCTTCTGAGCGCGATAGAGCTCGAGTAACTGCAAAAGGCTTTTCTGAAGACTCTCCAGAGCCGCCTTTCATGATCCTGCCGAGGTTGAAAACGGCTCGGCTACCTCACGGCACCCTGAGAACTTGAAGGGCCAGTTCTGGACTGCTTCCAAGGCTTCTCGGCTGTCTGCCACCAACTCTGCGTCGTCTGATGTCTCTTCCAAATCCAGGCATGTGTGGGGATAGAGTTGATGAGTACTAGGTTTTGGGGAAGCCTCGGCTCGGTTTTCTTTTTCTCTTTTCTTCGGCCATTCAAGGGGTAAAGTTTCAAGAGTCTGTGTTACGAGGTTTGCCATGTACATGAGCGTCGCGGCAAACATGTCGACTATAGAGGTGCTCCTCGTGGTGAAGTTGCAAATCTCTCTACCTCTCATTGTATAGTCTGTCTCGTGCTATGCCGCAGATGACAAGCCCGAATTCCCTTCCTCGCTGTTTTCGCCAACTTGACGGAGTATCCTCTCAAACACATCAAACTTCAACTCCATGATGCCATCGTGATCAGTCCCGGGAACAACACAACTAGAGAACTCAATCACGTCACGGCGCTGCTCAGCCCTCCAGCAATCCTCAAACCACTTGGGACCCTTATCAACACCAATCATGTGGTCCGCCTCCGCCCAAAATACATCAACCTTGAGCTTTGCAGCGCCCTTGACGACGCCAACATCGGGATTGTGTTCAGCCTCCGCCAACAGGGTGACGAGCTCGTCATAGTCCTTCCATGAGCCCCAGTAATCCGAGTGCCCCGCCCTCTTCAGCAGCAAAATGGCATCCTGGCTGAGCCCTCTCGTATCTTCAGAATACACCTTTTGAATGAGCTGCGGCCAAATCTTCTCCTCAAACACTGCCATGGGGTTCGCTTCCACCGCAGGAGGAGGCGTAGGATCGGCAGCAGAGCCCATTCGCATCGACGCAGGCAGCAACCCGCTCACAGCCTGCATACTAGGAAAAACCCCACTCACCGCGCCCGCTACCGGCGCAACATGCTTCAGCGAGAACCCGGCGAGCGTGTGGAAGCCGCCCAGCACGGTCTCCGGCAGCCCGCCCGCGAGCGTCATGAGCGCGGCACCCGAGCGGGACTGATGGACCCACGGCGCGGCGAGGGCCACGTAGGGGCGGTCGGGGGAGAGGAGGTGACGCAGGTGGAGGACCGTGTTGAGGGCGTAGATTGTGCCGCCGCTGTGGGCGGCCAGCGAGACGTGGCGGACGGGGAGGTGCGCGAGGAGGGCGGGCACGATTTCGAGCCAGATGCGGACGCGGTCGGGCGCGTCGACGTGGGTTGTGCCGCCGAAGCCTGGTCTGTCTGGGTGGATTATGCGGACCTTGTGTTTCTTTGCCAGGGCGTCTTTGGCGATGTGAAGGTAGCGGCTGTATGTTCGTCAGACCTTGAGCGATGAGGTGTGCCGTGATGTGCGAGGTGTGTTTGTGAGTGAGATGATTGGCTTACCTTCCCAGGAGGGGACCGCATAAGAGCAAGACATGCTCGCGCTCTGGGTTGTCCAGGTTGCGATATCCGTAGTCGCAATACGTGACTTTGAATGGATCCGGGCGGTCATTGCCGGGGGGTAAGGTGAAGGACTGGTGGAATCTTGGATCGTTGAGGTACTCTTCCGGGCCCGGATCCGTACGCGATGGCCCCGATTGAACCGGTTGATGGGCGTTTTGCGACGCCATTTCCAATGGTGCGTGAGCCTGCATCGAATGATCTAGAGTGGTTTGCTCACAAGCTTTTGTATAAAGTTCACTACACAGGATCAAGGGACGATTTCATTAACAAAGTTGTCGATGATGTGCTTCGAACGAACTTCGCCGGTTTGTATGGGGTGACCTGGACGGCCTTTTTTTTGACGTCTCCCGAGTGTGCCACTCGTTAGTTGGCCGAGGCGGGTACCCGGGCTCCTAGTGCTTATCATCAAGGTTGGGTGGCGTGGAGGAAGGATTCCGCCGTAACAGCGCTTTTCTTTTTCTTCGCCAGACTCGATTGGGAAGTTGTCTCACTGTTTTCCCAACGCCAAATGAGAGAGGCATCGTCGGTCCACCAAGTTCAATGAGAGAACTAGAATTCAGAGTTTCTAGGTTATTGCTATGGATAGGTAGAAAGTTTTATTCTTCACCCGGGTCTACAGAACCACGGGATCATCACTCTTTTGAGGGCGAGGTATTATTGACCATCACCAAGTGAGGAAGCGACGGTCAGAGTTTTCTCGAAATGATGACGAGGGCTCTGTCGAAGAGATGAAGGATAACGTCACACCATTATTATCAACCTCTCTTCTCACCACGAGAAGTCGTGATGGAGATCGACATTGGGTAACTTTTAGAGAAAGGGCACCAACAAAGCTCCTAGTCAACGCCACATCTAGAGGCATCTGCGAGGAAGAAGGCAAAACTTCCAAAAGTACCTCAGTATTTAGAAGAGATGATGGCGCCCGGGTATTCACTAGATATATTAATTCCGACCTGACCCTCGGGGCTATCCCACAAACTCACGTCAGAGTCAGG